CCCCCCGCCCCGAGATCAGAATGTTACTTATTTAGACTTGGATCTTTTCATCCAGCACGTGTTTAACTGGGTCACTAAGGCGGGGTTTTCAAAACAGAACTTAAAAGCCAGGTTTCCTGTATAGAAGGATGGATCAGATGCAAGGAAGCACGTGGTGGGACATGGAATGAGATGAAAGTGTTGGAAGGAACATAGACAGGCAAGTGAATTAAAGAGGGTAAATACAGAAACGAAGCGTTTATCACTACCAGGTGTGTGCAGTCATTCAGTGACCTTGCTCCTTGCAGCAAAAAAAACTGATATTCGGAAAAAGCAGCGCTTCGACTGTCACACTCACCTGCAATTCAGTTTCTCCAAACTCCCATGCTCAAGAGGGAAAACGAAGCCGCCTTCACTACAAGAGCTACTGGGAAACCACCAGACATCTCTCTCACCTCACTTCCAAACAGTCTTTACTACAGGCTCTTGCATGACAGCAACAACTGACCGCAGGGGACAGAGGAAAGGGTGGCTGCTCCTCTGCAGGAAACCCCCAGAGCACTGCTGCTCCCTGCATTCGCAGGCCCCACCTCAGCTTTCCTTATCTCCTCAAGTATTTAAGCTATGCAACACTGCAGTTAGCAGAGGCTGCTGTTTGGGGGGGTATTTTTTGATTTAAAACCAGCCAGCGAGCAATAAACTGCCCAGAACCGTGCTGTTCGCTGCACTCGAGACCGGCTTTTTAGTCCTGTGCGTTGCTTAAGAGCAAGTCCAGGGTGGAACGGTCCTAAGCAGCTGCAGAGCAAGCCTGCAAGGCGGCAAGCCACAAAACAAGCCATTCCTCACAAATCACCAGCCCTCAGCTCCAGTAACGAGCTGTGGGTGGCAAGCGACAGAAACCTCGGTGGGGATTTAAGCGGTTTTTATTTCGCAGCTTTGAAGCGTCCATTTCGAGGTGGGGTTTTTCTGCCGGGGAAACGCCGTCCTGACCACCCAGCAGCTCAACGCACGCGTTCCCAGGGCTCAATGGGGCAGCTTCGAGATGCTCCTTCAGCCATTTCAGCCACAGTCCCTCATTAGGAACTTGGGGGGCGGGGAGGGGGGGAAATAATCCTGTTTTCGGTAAGCCTGAACTGCTGTAAACTCCCGGAAGTTTTTAAGGGGTGGGAAAAAAAAACCTGACCTCAAACATTTTAATGTCTGTTTTGACAGTAAACAGCATTC